AATGGAATTGGCAACCGCAGTTCAATATAATATTGGGGTTAAAGTATTGATTCTTAATAATGATTTCCAAGGAATGGTCAAACAATGGCAAGACTTATTTTATGAAGAGAGATACAGTCAAACCGAGATGGTAAATCCGGATTTTGTGAAATTAGCAGAGGTTTGAAAATTTTTACCATTTAAATATTTGTTTTCATCACGTGATAAATATATTCTTAATCTATTATATTTTTCATAGTCAATGGGTGCTAAAGCTCTTAGAATTCGTACCGAGGAAGAACTACCTAATAAAATAGCAGAGTTTTTAGAATATGATGGACCCATTGTATGTGACGCAATAATAGAGAAACACGAACATGTTTATCCTATGGTACCAGCTGGAAAAGGATTGGGTGATTTCATTGTACATCCAGATTTAAGGAATTAAGGCACGAATTAATGAAAAGATATTTAGTTAATAAATAGAAAAAAAAAAGTATGATTTATTATATTTAGTATTAGTTGTAATTCCTAACAATAGCTTGTAAAGCTAAATATATTAAATGTAATTGTATAATAAAGGCTCGTTCTACAATATTATGATAATTGTCTATGTCACGTGAATACGACTTAAAATCGTGATCATGAACTTTCATTGGTCCGATAATTTTGATACGCGTCAAATTTTCGTTTTCAAAAAAAAAAAAAAAAAAAAAAAAAAATGCGATTATTTGCTTTTTCATCCCGTCGCACGATTTTATTATTTCACGATTCATTTGGTTTCGCAGCTAATTGCAGAATATCATCCAGAATATCGTCACAAATTAGACTAGAAAATCGAAACCTTTTGTTTTCTACACAAGCAATTACGAAAAATGATACAATTACAAAAGACGTCACAACCGACAATGCTCAAGATAACATGAAATTGGTATTCGAAAGTTCTAACTTTAGACTGGTCAGACTTTTAAAGGTTATTTCGGTATCATTTCTTGGGGTCAGTACTTCATAATCCTTTTTACGAGCAATCCCGAATATATACTAGGTAGTAACGATCTATTTAATAAATAGGTTGCATGTACCGTTGCACCGATCTCTTTCTTTTACGTGGATGATCCTGCTTGTAAGATAAATTATTTTTCAGTTCTGACTAAAGTCTAATAACATCATAATTCTAAAATTTGATGATTGAAAAAAATAGTCAAGTCACTTGGTATTACTAAGGAACTCATGGCAGCCGGTAAGCTTCTACTTAAGTTCTTTATTTAATTTTTTTTTTTAAATCAATTACATAATTTGACATTTTTTTCTCTCCTTAAAAAAAGCATTCATTGCAAGCGCAACGTCAACATTCGTGATTCACCATTTTTTCTCTCGATATGTCACGAAAATTTATCTTCACCAACCTAAAACACTTCCTACATTATTTACACCAACTACAATTAATCCCTATACAAAAATGACAATAGAAACTAGGTCTTTATTCGCATTACCAAAACTTACAACTGTAGAATTACGACATTTAAATCCAATGAATCAAAGTTCTATTACATGGAGTGTAAAAAAAAAGTATTTGAATTTTTGTAAGAAAAAAGGAATTAAGCCTCCTGCACAAAAAAAATTTTGGATTGATTATGAAAGTTCCAAGAATGATAAGAATGATGTAGAAATCGTTAAAAAAATTGTTAATGTTATTAATGAAAGTAGTAGGATAGATATGATTTAAAAATGTCAGGTGATTTAATAATAAAGGATAATGCAGTAATACAGATAATGATAGATAAAATTCTCGTGAAAATCAATGTAACGAAATTACCATCTTTATTTATTTAGTTTTAATAATTCTGAGATGCCAATCTGTGTAGAATGTGGAGTACCTGTAGCAAACTTATATACAGAGTATAGTACAGGAATTATAAGACTTACTCATTGTGTGAGTTTTCTTTTCTTTACAAAGAAAAGTTTTTTTTTTTTGCGAGTTCTCAACACCTTGCGCATATCGCGTACTTTTAATATAATCATTTCCCTTCGTTTTGTTTTGCCGTGAATCTCATACTGGCTTACATGCGTAACTTTATTTATGAATCTTTAGGAAAAGTGCAATAAATTTGCAGACAAATATGTGGAGCATGATTTTGTAATAATTTTTATCGATATGCTATTACATAAGCCACAAGTATATCGGCATTTGTTGTTCAATAGACTAGAATACAGAGATCATGGAATTGATGTAAGTTTAGATTGATAATTTTTATTATGAATTGAAAGATAACTTTTTTTTCGTCATAAGCCAAATGTGCTCAAACTTGGAATATTACTAATACTTTTTGATGTGTGTATCCTTTTATCCACAATTAACAGTCAAAAAAAATAATAAAAAATTTTTTAAACCTCGAAATAAAAAAGACATCGCTTATTCTGGTCATTTATATATTAAACCTTAACTTCCGATTTTCTACAAATTAAAAAAAAAAGACATCAAATGGTTTCGATTAGAAAAATATTATACAGTTTCGAACATTCCGTTTATTGAGCAACCATTATTTCTTCAGTATCTGTATATCCTGTTTTTAT